CGGGGAGCGGCGAGTTGGCGAGCGGGCGGTCGGGGAGCGGCGAGTTGGCGAGCGGGCGGTCGGCGAGGACCTTGTTCGGGAGCGGCGAGTTGGTCGGCGGGAGCAGCCACGGCGACGCGGCGAGCGCGGGTGTGACCGCCGGCAGCGGGGCGTTCGGCGCAGAGAACGTGCGCAAACGGTGATCCGCGTACCCGCGCCGCACGGCCAGCGGGACGGAGGGCCCAGAGGACTTGACGAAGGGCCTGACAGAAACCGAAACCGACGTGCCGAGCTTGAGGGGGAGCGACGCGGACTTGGACTCGGGATTTTGTGCGTGGTTCGGCGGGGAGGCGGACTCGGGGAGACTGCGCTGCGCGACGGGGAGCGTGAGGGAGAAGGTCGGGCGGTGCGTAGGGACCTGGAACTGGAAGGGCGTCGAGGCGGCGGTGGAGGGGTAGGAAGACGATGCTGCGGTCGAGGGATACGATGCTGATGTTGTTGTGGAAGGGAAGGACCCCGTCGACGGGAAGGACGGTGCCGTCGAGGGAAAGGACCCCGTCGAAGGGAACACCGACGCCACCGCCGTGGAGGGATAAGACCCCGCCTTCGCCGGGAACGCCGCCCCCCGCGTATCCGCCACGCGCTCCGCCCACCTTCGCGTTTCTCCCATATCCCCGCCAGCCTCAATCTCAACCTCAACCTCAACGCTATCAACCTGCATCGGCGTGCGCATCCCCCTCCCCTCGCTCTCGCCCTCCCCCTCATCGACTTCCATGCGGTCCTCCGGGACGGCGCGCATCCCCCCGCTCCCCGCACCCCGCACGCTCCCCTCCGCGCCCGATCCCGTCCCGCCAAACACCTCCCTCACCTCCCGCCTCACCGCATCCAGCACCGCGTCCACCGCAATGAACCCGCCCGTGCGCCCCACGCCCGCAGAGCAGTGCAGCACCACCGGCGCGGCCCCCGCGCCCGCCTTTAGCGCGCGCCGCAGCACGCCCGTCGCGCCGTCCACCGCGCTGTCGTCGCTGTCGCTGCTGTCCGCGGTGTCGCTGTCGCGGTGCGGCGGCGGCGGCGGATGCCCGTCGTCGTCCTCGTCCATCGCGGTGTGCGTCATGGTCGACGTCGGGTACGTCGGCGAAGTCGAGGTCAAGTACGGCGGCGAAGTCGAAGTCAAGTACGGCGGCGAGGTCGAGGCCGAGTACTTCGGCGAGGCCAAGTACGGCGGCGAAGCCGAACTCAAGTACGTCGGCGAAGTCTTCGAGGCCGAGTACGCCGTCTCAGCCAAACCCGAATGCGCCGCATCCGCCCTCACCCTCTCCACCTCCCTCCCCACCTCCCACACAAGCCCCAACACACCCCTTGCATCCTCGGGCACATTCATATCCGGCCACCCGAGGTACTGCAGCTGCACCACGCGCCGCGTCTGCCCCCCGCGCGTCAGCCGCAGCGTGCGCTTGATCACCTGCGGCGGCGGCGGCGGAGGCGTCGTCGTCGATGCCGCGCGGAACCCTGGTGACGTGGTGTTGAACCCCGACGCCGCGGGGTTGAATGTCGACTTGGGGATGAACGTCGACGTCGGGTTGAAGAACCCGCCGCCCGCACCGACCCCCTCTTCCGCGACCTCCGGCCCACACACCGCGCACCCCCCGGGTCGACACCCCTCCGCCGCGCACCCGAGCAGCTCGACGCGCAGCGCGCCGTACGTCCCCCCGCGCCAGTACGCGCCGCACTTGACCATCGCGCCCTCGACCTCGCGCGTCAGCATCACGATGACGTGCGTGTTTTGCTGCCAGACGAGCCTGCCGCGGAATTTAGTTGCGTTTTCTTTTTGCGACAGAGAGAGAAGGGGAGAGACGCACGTCCAAAAATCCCCAAACGTCGCGTCCAACGGCCCCTGCGTCGCGATATACCGCCTCCTCGTCCCAATCGGCTGCACATACGACGCGTTCACGTAGTCGTCGTGCTCCCTCTCCCCTCCATTCCCCCCCTCCAACTCCGTGTGCGCTAGGTGCTCCAGGTACAGCACCCCTGGCGTGCAGCCGCACCCTCGCGTGCTCGAACGGCCAGATATTCCGGTACCTATCCGCGCGTCAGCGTCAGCGTTCCTTGTAGGAAGAGGGAGGAAGAAAACGCACCGGTTCTTGCTCCCCTTCTCCACGCCCGCTGTGATGCTAAACGGGAACAGGCCCTTTCCATTCTTCCCCTTTCCCTTCCCAGCTTTGCCCGTACTACTCCCGCTCCCACTCCTGCTCCCGCTCCCACTCCCGCTTCCACTTCCACTCCCACTGCCACTCCCACTGCCACCCCGGCCCGACGTCGACGTGGGCGACGTTTCCTCGCTCATCGACGCGTCCCCGGTCGAATTCGAGTTCGAGTTGGAGGGCATCGAGCTATCGTGTTCCTCCCCGGGCCCTGTGCCGCTCTCCCGACTATGATGCTCCATAACGCCCATAAGCCTCCTCTGCTCCGCGAGCTCGATGCGATAAAACTGCATCGCAAGCGCCTCCGTGCCTTCCTCCACGCGGCTCGCAGACGGCGGTGCTGTAGGATGTACATCAGTATCGGCATAGAAAGGAAGGGATCGCCACGCACCTCCCCACATACTCCCACTGCTCGAATCGGAGCTCTCGTTCTCGTCCTCGCTCGAGTCCCTCTGGCCGCGGATGCCACCGTAGCTAAATGCCGCCGGCGCGTGCGTGAGCGGCGACGCGGGCGCGGCGCGGCGCGCGATGTTGCGGAGCCACGGAAAGGGCAGCTCCGCGATGCGGCGGCGCACGCGGCGCGGGAGGCGCAGCGGGATGCGCTCGGTGATGCCGTGGGCGAGCTCGGTGTTCTGGCGCACGGCGTCGAAGAAGGGGTTGAACGCGTGGCGCGTGTCAGGGGCGGCGCTCGTGGCGGGGAGGGCGTTGTGGAGGACGGGGCCTGCGGCGGGGGCGTCAGCGGCTGCAGTGCGGCGGGGCCGGGGAGAGCGCGGGGTGGGCGGGCCGGGGTTGCGCCACTTACCTGAGCGGGAGGGGGCCTGCGTCGTGCTGGCGAGAGCGAACGCGGCGCGCGGTAGGTGGTGCGCGCGCAGGACCCGCAGCTGCTGCGGGGTGTCCTGCGCCTCCTCGCTCTCCTCGTCCTCGGTCTCGGTCTCCGTTTCGGGGGTTGGCGGGACAGTGTCGACGAGGTCGCGGCGGTGGGTCCACACGGCCTGGAAGCCGCCCTGGACCCAGGCGAGCTCTATGTTTGCGTCGGGGGCCTCTGCACGGAACTTGCGGAGGAGGCCCTGGATGTTTGAGGAGTCTGAGATGGCGGCCGAGTCTGCGTCGTAGACGAGGATGCGGGATGCGCTGCGCCAGGCGGAGAAGCGGTTGCGGGCTGCGCGCGAGGGGAGCATTGCGGAGAGACGCTGGAGGGAGAAGAGGGGACGCTTGAGGAGGGTGGAGGGGACGGAGAGGGAGATTGCGCGGGCGATGTGGGCGGAGGAGTAGGCTGCGTGGGGCCGGATGTCGACGACCAGGGTCCGCGTATCGTCGAGCCACGGCGACAGCGCACCCGGGGGGACTGCGGTGTACTTTGACGGCAGCTGCGGGGGTACGGGGGCTATATGGAGTGGCTGGGTGAGGGAGAGTCTTTCCATTGGAGTACTGGGGAGTCGGAGTGGGGGCGGGATGAGGCGGGCGGTGAGGACTCCTGCGTCGGGGCGTTCGCCGAAGCGTTGGCGGATTGCATCTGCGAACTCCTGTGTATCATCTGTCTGGTGGTGGCTGGCGTTGTGTAGCTGCACGATGCTCGGGCCAAAGAAAAAATCGTCGGTCTCGGACATTGAGGCAGGAGAGAGAATCCTAAATCAAGATCACACATACGTCATCAGTGGAACCAGATCCGTCATAGTCCCCTCATTTGATCCCATCAGCGGATGGCGCCGGCACTTAAAAAGGATCGTCGCTCCACATTCGGATGTCTAAGTGACGTGTCAACTGTGTCAACTCGCAAAGAACCTCCAGGAACCGCCACTTCCTGGCGCACACGGCCCGTGCTGGGAGGTGGTTCCGCGCCGGTCAAGCAGCGCCGAGTTCCTGTAGCCGTTTATTCAGCTGCCCGATGCCGTCGTCTCGGTCGTTCAGGCCGCATCCACTCAAAGTCACCGCTGTCACCTTCAAACTCAAATCCCACTTCAGCTGACCACATTCCCTGCGAATGGAGGTAGGGCGAGGGGAGGGCGGCCGAGAGCGTTTCGGACTCGGGCGGCGACACATTCGACACAGGCAGAATGAACCGCATACGCACACTCATTCAACCTCAAACCCACCGCTTCGTCCAAGAACCGTACCCATTGCATGTATTGAGGAATGTAGCTTCAGCAAAAGCTCTAGTTGCAAAAATTGAACAAACCCGAACCAAATCGTATTCCCACACACGCCCCCCGGGCTGTCGGAACGAGGCAAAACTTTAGGTGATGTAGCAACTGCCGGCCGGACAACCACAATGTACACAATGGTTGTAATAACGACACAGGCACCAGTTTGAGTAAGATCGGACCCGGTTCGGCGCCGCCGTAAAAACGCAGCCCTGCACTCCTTCCACCCGGGTTATCAAGTTACAGTTCATATTAAAACTGCTCATGGCAGATGGGAAGTGAGATGACCTCGCCGGGGATCCAGGTAGAGTTGAAAAATAAGAAAAATCTCTCACCGCACGAAATAACCCGACCCCGGATCGAACGGGGATCTCCTGCTTCACAACATATCTCTGCATATATTGAGCAGGCGCACTATCCAATTATGCTATCAGGTCTTCCTTACTTGGGTGTATTCCTGGCTAAGTAGTGTTCCAGGAGCCTTTGGTGTGGGATCAATTGAGGTTGAGGTTCCGTGTCAATTCATAAAAAATATGTAATTGAAGGCAGGCTGGGAAGACTTGATCAATTTATTCACTCAAAGAGATGAGACGCGCCGTGCAAAATGAGGAGAGGATGTGCTGGTAGCGCGCAAGAGAGAAATGAAAAAGTGAAAGAAAACTCTAGAATTAACCGCTAATGACCTGACCCCGGATCGAACGGGAATCTCCTGCTTACATACTGATGCAACTATAACAAATTTAACAGTTGCACTATCCAATTATGCTATCAGGTCTTCCTTACTTGGGTGCATTCCTGGCTAAGTGGCATTTCATGAGCGGGATCAATTAAGGTTGAGGGAGGTTCCGAGTCAATTCATTAAAAAAAAATGAAGGCAGCCTGGGAAGACTCAATCGTTTATTCACTCAAAGAGATGAGACTCGCTGTGCAAAATGAAGAGAGGATGCTCTGGTAGCGCGCAAGAGAGAAATGAAAAAGTGGGAAGAAAAGTTCTGGCTCCACAGCTCATGACCTGACCCCGGATCAAACAGGGATCTCCTGCTTACTGCATTCACGAATATATTGAATTCAGCAGGTGCACTATCCAATTATGCTATCAGGTCTCCCTTACTCCATGTGCATTCCTGCATAAGTGGTGCTTCAGGAGCGGGATCAATTTAGGTTGGTTCCGAGTCAATTCATTAAAAAATAAATTGAAGGCAGGCTGGGAAGACTCAATTGTTTATTCACTCAAACCGATGAGACACGCCGTGCAAAATGAGGAGAGGATGTGCTGGTAGCGCGCAAGAGAGAAATGAAAAAGTGAAAGAAAACTCTAGAATTAACCGCTAATGACCTGACCCCGGATCGAACAGGGATCTCCTGCTTTAATCTTTTTTCATCCAAATCTATATTCAGCAGGTGCACTATCCAATTATGCTATCAGGTCTTTCTTACTTGTTGTGCATTCCTAGTAAGTCGTATTTCATGAGCGGGATCAATTGAGGTTGAGGTTGAGGGTCCGAGTCAATCCATGAAAAAATAGTTAAAAGTAGGCTGGGAAGACTTGGTTGTTTATTCACTCAAAGAGATGAGACGCGCCGTGCAAAATAGGGATGCACGGCAGCACGGGAGGGAGAAGTGAAAAAGTGGGAAGAAAAATACAAGCTCAACACCTAACGACCTGACCCCGGATCGAACGGGGATCCCCTGCCTACTTACTTACCTCTTCAAGCGAAAGTTTCGACAAGCGCACTATCCAGTTATGCTATCAGACCTTCCATATTTTGTGCACATGCGTGGTTAAGTAGTGGAGTTGTGTCAATTAAAATTAACATTAAACTCCGACCCAATTTTTGAGGTTCCAATTCTGAAATAATTGAAAGGGTTAGGGAATCCTTTCATCGTCGACTTTTTCAAAGAGATGAGATGTGCCGTGAAAAAACGAGGATGAGGCAGGGCGGAAGTGGGAAGTGGGCTTACTGTAAACTTGGAGGGCAAAAGAAAAAGAAGTTATACTTATGTCCAACGACCTGACCCCGGAATCGAACGGGAATCACCTACTTACTGGTTCCAACTGACATAAACTCATCAAGTGCACTATCCAATTGTGCTATCAGGTCTTCCTTACTCATTGTGCATTCCTGATTAAGTGGTGTTTCATGAGCCTTTGGAGTGGGACCAATTTAGGCTGGTTCCGACTCGGAGTTGGTTCATAAATAATTGAAGGCAAGCTGGGAGGACTTGGTCGTTCATTCAATCAAAATGGCTGAGATGTGCCGTGAAAAAATGAGGATGCATTGGCAGCGCGGGAGGGAGAAGTGAAAAAGTGCGAAGAAAACTACAAGCTCAACACCTGATGGCCTGACCCCGGATTGAACAAGGATCTCCTGCTCACACAACTTTTCGGAGTGGACATTTAAGGCAGGTACACTATCCAATTGTGCTATCAGGCCTTCCACACCCTGTGCATATGCCTGGTTAAGTTGTGGAGTTGTGTCGATTAAAATTAACATTAAACTCCGACCCAATTTTGAGGTTCCAATTCTGAAATAACTGAAATGGGTTAGGGAGTCCTTTCATCGCTGACTTCTTCAAAAGAGATGAGATGTGCCATGAAAAAATGAGGATGAGGGAGGGCGGAAGTGAGGGGTGGACTCGGAATCAAGTGGAAAAAGAAAAGAGAAATCACAGACTGAGGGATATAACTCAAACCTGACCCCGAATCGAACAGGGATCTTCTGCTCATATCTCATTTGTGACTGGAAATGTAGGACAGGTGCATTAGCCAACTATACTATCAGGTCTTGTCTATGCTTGGTCTACTTTGGGATATATCAGGGTTGAAGGGGTTCAACTCCGCACATAATAAATTATGGCCGCTTGGATTGTTACTCGGCGTGGTGGTGCATTTTATATAGAAATGTACTTGTATGCGTGCCCATTGCACCATGTCCGGCAAATAAAAGGCAAGTGAATTGTTACCCGTCATAGTGCAGGCTCCCAAAATTCTCGCGTCGCTATCTCAAAATAAGTCAACTATCCGCGCTGGCGGCAATTTCTCCGCGCTGCGGTGCGAGGACGAGGGATAGAAGCGAGGGAGGATGAGATAGACCGTCCGAGTCTCCGAGCCAGAGTCGACTGCCAGTGCGCACGAAGGTTCATTGAACTTCAAGTGAACTTGATCATGTGAAAATACAAAATCGGAATCTCCGAGTCCCACGGCAGTGAAAAGTACTCGAATAAACCCTACGTAGGCGCGAGCGAAACTGAGATTGAATCGTGAGCTTGCTCGTGACTCGGAGACAGTGCCATGGTTCAACTTGAAGTTCAACTTTGGCTCTATTTGGTCCCGGCGGGCTCGGGCCGCCTTTTTGAACTCCCATCATCCCGCCCGGGAGTCAGGCCGGAGTCATACGGAGTCATACATTCCGGGACGTTCCCGGCTGTGCGTGCCCTCTCAGCTAGCTACGCCAATGCCAACGCTCTTCAGCCCCCTCACGCTCGGGAGCGTAACCCTCTCCAACCGCATCGGCATGTTGTCCCTAGACTACTGCAGCCCGCAGATGACTGACTTGGTGACACACGCAGGGATGAGCGCGCTGACGCGCAACCGCGCCGACGTGTCGACGGTGCCCAACGCGCTTATGAAGGAGTACTACCTGCAGCGCGCCGTGGGGGGATGCGGCCTCATCGTCACCGAGGGCACGCTTGTTACACGCCAGGGGTATGGCCATCATCGTTTATTCAACGAAACGAGCTTTTAAATGCCGCCTAACAGCACAGAGTGGCCGCAGGCGCCGGGGATCTGGAACAAAGAACAGATCGGTGCGTGTGGATTCATACCAGGGGATGCCGCAGGCTCAGACGCGACGTTCAGCCGCATGGAAGACCATCGTTGACGCGGTACACACCACTGAGACCAAGATATACTGCCAAGTTTGTCCCTCAATTTACATAATTGACTGGCAGTTCATTTTTTTTCCGATCTAGGTTTGGCATTGTGCGTTACCTACCTTCTCGTTGAGTGTTCCTCAATCTTACTTTCCAGTGGGCCGCGTCAGCCATCCGGACGCCCCAGAGCAGATCGCCGCAGGCGTGGTTAGCATTCCATGCTCGCATAGTTTATTCTCTCGTCTTACCACCAAAACCTAGCCCGTCTACGGTCCATCTGCAATCTCTGCGCGCGGAGGGAAATTCCGCTTCCTCCCAGGAAAACCTGGCTACGTGACTGTGGGTTTCAGTTTCTGGTTCTCGTACCTCCAATTTTATCATCTTGGTTTTCTAGCCCACGGAGATTGAGGACCCAACGACGCTGATCGCGCTGTTCAAGCAGGCCGCAATCAACGCGAAGGAGGCGGGATTTGATGGCGTCGAGCGTGCGTGGCTTCGGGTTGAACTCTGCTGCACGCTGATCGAATCGCCTAGTGCACGGCGCGAACGGGTACCTGGTCCACCAGTTCCTTGACTCGACTTCGAACAAACGCACCGACAAGTGGGGCGGGAGCGTCGAGAACCGCGCGCGTTTCGGACTCGAGACGCTCAAGAGTTTGATCGAGGTGTATGGTGCGGATGTAGCCGTGAAACTGAGCCCCGGTACGCTGTGGTCCGTATGTCTCTCATCGTTCGAGGTTTAATTCGGCTTGTGCAGCGGGGGGATACAACGACGTGGGCATGCCGCTGCCGGAGACGATCGAAGTGTACACCTACTTCATCACCGAGGCCGAGAAACTCGGCCTTTCGTACATTGTGCTGGCGCGCTACCTCGAGATCAACGGTTCACATTCATTCGCATTTATGCGCAGCGCACTGACGCGCCGCCCGCAGGCGAAATGGACGCAACACCGCACGACGTCCTCGCGACCTTCCGCCCCGCCGTCACGCGCGCCAAGCTCTTCGCCAACGACAGCTTCACGCCGGCGGAGGCGGAGGAGATGGTTGCGGCGGGCACGATCGACGGCGTGTTCTTCGGGGTGCTGTGGCTCGCGCATCCGGATCTGGCGAGGCGCGTGCGACACGGGAAGCCGCTTGATAATGAGCCGGACGAGAAGAATTTCTTTGGGCACCCTGATACACCGCCCCAGTTGGGATTCACGGACTACCCTGCGTGGCCGAGCTATGAGTGACCTGTAGGAGAAGGATTAGAATTTTGACTGAATTTCCCCTCAGTGTACAATAAAATCTGGAGTGGTATAAAAGTTGTTTGAACGGGTTCAACTCCTCACAGAATAAATTGCGGCTTATGTAGTTGAATTTTTGACTGTTGGCTCGAATGACTGGCAGGATCTTTGAAGCCAGGTGAGAAGAGTAGGACAGTGCACAACCAATTGAAATAAAAATTGAACTTGGAAAACAGTTGTCAAACTTGAACCGAATGGCCATGAAAACTCCTGCCCCAGACAGTTGTGCGTCTGATATAGAAATGAACTCGCATTAGTGTCCATTGCGCTATGCACGACAAATCAAAATCAACAAATCCCTGGTCCATGTGGTCCGCCCCCGTCAAAATACCACGACCAAAATCTCGAGTGGTGCTGTCTCAAAATCAACTTGTCAACCCCCATCGGCGGCAATTTCTCCGCGTCGTGGTGCGAGGGTGAGACACAGAGGGATCGAGGAAAAAATTCATTCGACAGAGGTCTCCAAAGGCGGGTACGACGGATCAGTTTGTGTGAAAATCGTCGGACATCGAGGAAAGAGAGAGAATTCGAGATCAGACACACGTCATCGCCTAACCGGATCCGTCTATACTCTGCCCCTTTGATCGCATCGACGGACGGGGCCGGGACTCAAGGATCGTCGCTCCACATTCGGATAGTGGCGTGTCAACTCGCCAAAGATGCCAGGAACCGCCACTTCCTGGCGCACGCGGTCCGCGCTGGGAGGTGGTTCCGCGCCGGCCAAGCAGCGCCAAGTTGCTGGCGGCCCACCTGTTCAGCCCCAGCGCCACTGCCCGATGGTCGCCTCGGTCCAAAACGAAGACATTCCCTGGCTGGCTAATTACTAGTCACCGCTGTCACGTTCAAACTCGAATCCCACTTCAGCTGACCGCAATCCCTGCGAATGGAGATAGACTCGCTAGGACGAGGGGAGGGCGGCTGAGAGCGTTTCGGACTCGGGCCGCGACGCATTCGATGGGACAGGCAGAGTGAACCGCATGTAGTCCGCCGCCACAAAATAGCTGCATACGCGCACTCACTCAACCTCTGAATCACCGCTTCGTCCAAGCCTCTGCAGACGGTGGACAAAGAACCGTCACGGTACCCATTGCACGCATGGAGTAATGCACATATGCACGCTTCAGCAAAAGCCCTAGTTTGCAAAAATTGAACAGACCCGAGGCAAATCGTATTCGAACACACGCCCCCCGGGCCCTCAAAACGAGGTAAAACTTTCGGTGATGTAGCAGCTCCCCGCCGGAAAACCACTATGTACATAATAGTTATAAAAGCGACACAGGCATCACCAGTTTGAGTAAGATCAGACCCAGATCGGCGCCGCCGTAAAAATGCAACCCTGCACTCCTTCCACCGCGGGTTATTAAGTTACAGTATTGAAAGTGCTCGTAATGGCAGAAGGGAAGTGAGATGGCCTAGCTGGAATCCAAGTGGAAGGTTGCAAAGAAAGAAAAAACACGCACCGAGGACAATAACTTGACCCCGAGTCGAACAGGGATCTCCTGCTTTAATCTTCCTGTCCAATCCATATATACCAGGCACACTATCCAATTGTGCTATTAGGTCTTCCTTACCTAATGTGCATTCCTGGGTAAGTGGTGTGAAAGAGCCTTTGGCGTGGGATCAATTTAGGTTGAGCTTGGCTGCTTGAGGTTCCGAGTCAATGCATAAATAATTGAGGGAAGACTTGATCGTTTATTCACTCAAAACAAATGAGACGCGCTGTGCAAAGTCAGGGTGCACTGGTACAGTGGCAGTGCGGAAGGGAGAAGTGAAAAAGTGGAAAGAAAACTACAAGCTCAACACCTGATGACCTGACCCCGGATCGAACAGGAATCTCCTGCTCATAGTTCACGATCGCCTTAAATTCAGCAGGTACACTACCCAATTGTGCTATCGGGTTTTTCCTATCCTGTGCACATGTCTGGCTAAGGCTGAAACTGTGTCAATTTTTGAGGTTCCAATTCTGAAATAATTGAAAGGGGTTGGGGGATCCTTTCATCGTTGACTTCTTCAAAAGAGATGAGATGTGCCGTGAAACATGAGGATGAGGCTGGGCAGAAGTGGGAAGTGGGCTTACTGTAAACTTGGAGGGCAAAAGAAAAAGAAAAAGAAAAAGAAGTGATCCTTCCCACTGACTTGACCCGGATCGAATGGGAATCTTCTGCTTGCTAGTTATGACTCTTCGAAACTCAGCAGGTGCACTATCCAATTGTGCTATCAGGTCTTCCCTATGTCTAGCCTGCCTTGGGATATATCAGGGTTGAAGGGTTCAACTCCGTACATAATAAATTGTCGCCGCTTGGATTGTGGTGCATTTTATATATAAATGTACTCGTATGCGTGCCCATTCCACCATGTACGACAAATCTAAAGGCAAGTGAATTGTCACGCGTCATAGTGCAGGCTCCCAAATTCTCGCGTCGAATCGAGTGGTTACAGTGCTGTCTCAAAATTAAGTCAGCTGTCCGCGCCAGCGGTGATTTCTCCGCGCCGTGGTGGCGAGAGCGAGGGAGGACGAGAGAGGCCGTCCGAATCTCGAGCTCTGAGGCAGAGTCAACTGCCAGTGAGCACGAAGGTTCATTGAACTTCAATCCCACAACAATGAAAAGTGCTCGAGGAAACCCTGC